CCACGAAAGCCTCGTACTACTCGCCCGGATGAAGACTCCATCTATATGATAGATAAGATAGCTGTGCTAGAGAATGAAATCGCTGAATTGAAGGCTCCTGTATCAACCAAAGATGGAAAGCAATTTAATACCGCCATACGAGAGGCTTCATTTTACCTGCAGGTTTGTTTTGTGTCCAATTACTAAGTTGGCGCCAACCAGCATATTAAGAATTTGCTATCAATAGTAATTTGGGTTTGATAAGGTGATTGAATTCTTCGCAATTACAGCCTTTTTACTGAGCTTTATTAAGGATACATGCAAGTTCTTAATATGTAATTACAAGCAAATGGGAAAGGTAGATTAGTTACAAGAACAAGTGTATATATAGTGTAAATTGATTCGGCGTGAACTGAACTGAAAAGAATTTGGAAGCTTACAAATTTATTTTTCACCTCTCCCAGAACTTTAGTTTCTGTTTCACATTACAAATTATCAATTTATTTACATTATTAATTTAAGTTTGAAATAAAAAATGATGTTGCTGTAGCGGATATAGGGGGGTGGGAGGGGCGGGACGGGTCAGGTGTGCATCCCTCCCCCCTATCTTTTGAAAACCAAGTATGTTAATATTAGCAAATTTCTGGCTGTTTCAAATTTCAAATATAATACCTGCATTGCAACCCCCCCCCCCCCCCATACCATTTTTCAAATCCTGGATCCGCCTCTGTGTTGGCCTTTTTGTTGGGTAGGGACGAGGGAAGGCAAGATATATAACTGATAAAATTTATATAGCACTTGATACAATGTTCACCTGATGTTTCTAAGACTTACATTTAGGCTAATTGCTAGTTATTTTTGACCACTTAAGAAAGTTTTCTGTATATCTACTATCTCCATGATAGGACGTTGGTGTGCCAGAACACCAAACCAGTGAGGCTATAAGAACAGTGACTGAAACACTTCATGGGAGAAAGATTGGTCCCCTCCCCTCCGCAAGCACACAACATCGCATGGGGTCAGAGATGAAAGAATTATCGAGAAGTCAGCTACGGGAAGCATTAGAAAACGAGAAAGGACTTACCTTGAAATATGATGGAACCACTAAAGGTAGACTGGGCCACCTGGCAGAGGTAGAAGTCGCCACAAAAGACAATACATTCATGATAGGGTTCGCCCAACAGGTTGGAGGGACAGCAGCGGAATATGTTGAGTCAATCAAGGGAGTTTGTGATGCTGTGTCCCCTCATGTCCTAAATGAGGTAACTAATACCATGACGGATCGTTGCTCAACGAATGATGCCGTCGACAGACAACTGGAGGAGCAGAGAAATATCAAGGTGAACAAGTTTCGATGTAGCATGCATCCGCTAGATTCATTCGCACGCGATGCCAACAAGGCATTGAAACGACTAGATGTCAACAAAGAACGCACTTGCAAAATGCCTTTCAATAAAGGCGGCGAGTGTAATGCGCAAGCATTCATTCGAGTTGCGAGCAAGCTTTTCACGAGTGACAGCTGTGGAGATAGCACCGAGTTGCGTTCTTTTTTGAAAGAGAAAGGATTTCCTCAACAGATCCCCAGATGGGTGGGCAACAGATTCAACATTTTGTTTTATTCGGCTGGGAGGTTGCATCTAATTGGGGAGGCCATTGTAGATTATTTCAGATTGGTCAACAAGCCGACAAATGACTTGCACAGGGCATTTGTAAATGCATGGAACATTGACAACATCCGCCATCTTCGATGCCTTGGCCTTGTTGGTGCATTGGTAGCCAGACCCTGGATGGAGGTGGTCAGTGAAGGAGGCAACATCCTCGAGATGAATAATTTGTATGAGAGTGCTGCCAATATGCTCACCAAATGGTTGGAGGAGCCGCAGTCCATGCTTCGGGACAACTGCACCGTATTTGGTACTCCACCTGTTAAAGATGAGGTCCTAACTGCACTTTTGTCTCAACCATTTGAGGACGATATGGTCGGGCCACTCAAGGCTATTCTGACATCAATCTTAGATGTGATCAGACGTCAACTCGGGTCCCAGCTGCCGGGTGGACAGTTTTGGGAGTCTTCAGAGGTCTTGAAGGAACAAGCTGCATCATGCTGCAACAGTAATATAAGTGGAGAGCGTAACTTTGCGCAATTGGACTCGCACCTACATCATGCACCCAATATTGGCATAGGTAAAATAGAGTCAAAAGTAATGTTCAAGGCCAATGCCACACGGCACTGGCTCCAAAACAAGCCACAGGGAAGTAGGAAGGAGCTAATTCGCAATAACATTAAGGCAGGTGCAAAAGAACGCAAGAGAGAAATGGAGAATAAGGTGACATACAGAGAGAAGGTGAAAAGACGAGTCCGGGAAAAACAGCAGAAGCTAACTGAAAAAGCAGAGAAGGCCAGAAACAAAGTAGAAGAACTTATTGAGAGTATCTTGCAAGACGGGGTGATTGAACATCGGGATGAATGTGAAACCAAAGTCAATGGCATGTCCAAGACCAGAGCTACAGGGATGCTGAAGGCACAGATTCAATTTAGGACCAAAATACTTGGACAAGATATTGGGAAACATGCCCTAAGTAAGTGCTCTGTTGATGAGTTGAAGAACATTCTCCTGAGTATTCCGGAACCTACAGACAAGAACTTTCTGACAGATGTGAAAGACCCAGGACAGATTATTAATAGAGAATTCGCGCAGAAGTGGGAGAAAGATGAAAAGGAGCAATGGTACAATGCAACAGTAATCAACTTGAAGGATGGGGAGTTTGAGGTCTCCTATCAAGGCAACAATGAATTGTTCTACATGACGATTGCAGAATTCTTTACTGACATTCATCTCGGTGATATCTGCTATGTGTAACTTGAAAGGCCCAAAAGTAAAAACGATTATAACGGTAAAACTATGTAAAGACCTGTAATTGCTAGTGTTATATTCTTAGAAATTTGCATTATTCGCAAATTGGTTATGACAAGCATTGTGGAAAGAGTCTGGAAAAAAAAGTTATTCTTGAAAACAATTCAAAGAATTTGTATGCAACATTGTGAAGTTGTGAGCAGCCTATCATTGCCCAGGCATCTAGATGTGTGGAGTCCAGCAGACTTTAAAGCAGTTGACAGCCAACAATATCTATATTGGTGAGTCTCAGTTTGCAGTTAGTTCTTGCAGGTAGCTTCTACCTGCAATGTGAAAACCCTTGGTGTACAGGCCTAAACAAGAAGAAAAAGACTGTAAATATAGTTAATTATCATTAAACTGGTGAGATATTACAATGCTTCCAAATATGAAATTCTTTAAGAATTAATCATACACATTAAACCTGCAACTTTATGCATGCATACATTTGGGTCGGGTAGCTATGATTGAAATTCAATGCCATAATTACACTGCTGTCCACCAAAAATATTTTTGGCAAATGGAGCACTATGGGGTTTTGTGTCTGCAGGCAGCTTCTACCTGCAAGGTCAAAGCCTTTGGTTTCTTGCATGCAGATATGCTCCACCAGGGGGCGAGATAGTTGGGATGATTGTCTTTACTTGTATATAGGCCTATAGAACTAGTGTTCAGGGAAAAAATTACTTTAAAAATTTCGGGGGCTACTTTTCAAGCTTGCTTGCATGAAAATAACACTCTTTAATTTGTTTTGCATTGAACTCTATGCAAAATTTGGGGGCTCTTTCAAGACTTTCGGGGGCTCTTTTGGGCATTTCGGGGGCTAATTCGCCCCGAGCCCCCGTGTATTTTTTCCCTGCTAGTGTTCATCAGTGAGATTACAGTGTTTTCAAAAGTAAAAGTCATTCAGAATTGATCATATGTATAGTTCATTTATAGTTAGGCATGACTTTACAAACAACTTGCATTATGGGATGCTTAATTATTTTTTGACACCGTACCTCTGACACCTGAGGATAGAAAAAAGAAGAAGGTAAAAGAAGGAAAAGTGAGAGATATAAAGAAAAATGTTAAAATATTTAAATTACAGGCAATTAAATGACAATGTAGAATGAAAAAATACTTCTGGGCAAAGGCAAGTTTTTTGTCTTCCAATTTGTTTAGTCTAGACCCCATTTAAATCTCGATCTAGATTCCAAAAATTCTTTTATTTTATTTTTATTTTCAAATAGACCCACAGCACTAAACCAGTAGGTATAACAGTTGGGGCCTAATATCAATCCACCCCACCGACCTCTAACGTTACACCGGACATTTCATTGGCTAACAGAAGTGACGCTGTGCGGCCGCCATGTTGCACTTCTGAATGAGCGCACGGCGTATAGAAGTACTCTCGCGGCCATGTTTCACTTCTAAAAGTGATACGGCACTCCAATGGCCACCGCGAGTGCGCACCCGCTTCAGTTTTTTAACACGGGCGCGGGAATGGGCGATGGTACGGTACGTCCACATAATAGAGGTCAGTGATCCACCCTGCCTTGTCCGTGCGTCCGTGCGCGTACATTTAGCAAGTGTCTGTAGCGAAGGCTAAGTCTTCACGCACGTACCGCGTACGTGTGTGCGGACTGCCGCCCGCTGGGCTTGCACCAGCGCAGCGCGTAATAAGTAAAGGCATATTTGCGACGGTTCAGCGCGCCACTGAGGAATGGGAAAACCTTGGGACGCAAAATGTAAGTAATATGTCATTTTTGGTGTATAAAACGGCAAATTCAGCCGATTTGACCACTCTTTGTGTCTTCATTATGTACTAACCTACACATTTCTTGTTGTATTTCATTAACTCTTCTAAATTTTATTTTTGTGTGATTTACACTAGATCTACCTTTACTCTACCATAGAAATTTAGAATACCAGAGTCCAGACCATCATTTCTGTCTAGGCATCATCATGACCAGATTACATGTGGCTTAACTAGATTGAACTAGTCTAGATGTGATATCAATATCATATTTCATTGTTTTTTCACCTAGCCCCCTCCTCTCATACCATCATCCCGCCCGTTCCCGGGCCGATACCACTACTGGTACAAGTACTAGCTAGCCCGGTGTAATTGGTTTGTTGTTCACTCACATCGCTCCAATGGATCAATTCGTCAGTGCCTTCGTCATCCACTAACAGCCATAACTTCGAAAGAAAAGCCGGACATGATGGTTGAGGCATGCTGCCTTGAGCCAACCCTGTGAGGCCAGTTTCATCAGAAGACATGATTACAGATGAATCCTTCTAAATTTGCGCTGACGAAAAGTGTGTTTAATTGAGACAACAACTTCGATTAGAAATGCATGCTCATTTAAGATTGTCAGCCATCTTCACAGTGCAGTCAATTAACGTACACGTACGCGCACACGTGCGTAGTGCCTAGGTTTTTGGTTTGACACATGCATGGCCATGGCATAAAAATACGTGTAGGGACAATACAGCCAGCCTCGCACGCGCGGAATTGCGCAATGGAGAAAGGGAATTTCCAAATTTCGTAAGGTGAGGGCCGACCTCTTGGCTAGGACTGGAAACAATAACAGTGACCGTGAGGTGAGACACAATCTCATAGAAGAATCTCCGATAAAATAAGAGAAGAAGACGAGAAGGCGCTAGAGGGCTTAGAAGACCAATAAAAGATGAAGAAGAAAACTGATGAAGATAGGAAGAACAAGAACAAGAACAAGAACAACACAACAAGTCAACATCAATCACAAGAAGAAAATGCAAGAAGTAGAAGGAGAAGTAGATCAGAAGATCGAAGAAGAAGAAGAAGAAGAAGAAGAAGAAGAAGAAGAAGAAGAAGAAGAAGAAAAAGAAGAAGAGGAAGCAGAATGGTTTGGAGTCCAAAAAAAAAATCGCAACGACTCAGCCAGCCGAAAAGTCGCTCAGGGGGTGGAGGGGGGGGGGGGGGGTATATGCGGACACTTTTTTGTTAGTTTTTTGGAGTCCAAAAAAAAATCGCAAGGACTCAGCCAACCGCTGAATAAGCAGGGGGGGGGGGGGGGGGGGGGTGAGAGGACACTTTTTTGGGGGGGGGGGGGGGGGGGGGGGTCTCGAAATTTGAAAATTTGACATTTTGTTCCGTTGGGGGGGGGGGGGTAAGGTCACCTTTTTGAGGTCAGCCATTGGTATAATTAAATTTTTTTTTTTTAAAACTCAAAAAGGGGGGGGGGGGGAGTTTTCACACAAAAATTAAAGAAAACATACACATAAAAAAGACTCAAGGGTTAACCCCAACCCCCCCCCCCCCCCCCTTGCGTACGCGTCTGACAAGAGGCAAGTGATATGATTGCGCCTGACGTGTGGAATAACTATGAACTCGGTTATTTTTCTTAAATATTCTAGCCAAGGCTACTGGCAGTAGACCTGTATTCAATTCATACATTAGAGCTCCTAGTTGTAAATGATAAATATCTTCAACTTTCAAAACACTACTATTATAAAAAAAAGAACATCTGTATGCGCAAGATAGTGAGTATTACAAACAATTCGTATTACTCTTTTCTGTACCAGTAGTAATTTATCCATTTGAGATTTGAACGAGTTGCCCCAAGCTAGCACACCATAGTGCAAATATGGCAAAACTAAAGCTGCGTACAACATACGTAAAATATTTAGTGGGAACACAGATTTCAATTGATATATTACACCAGTATTTCTTGACAATAATTTACAAAGTTTACTAACATGGTACTTCCAATTTAAATGTTCATCAATATGCAAGCCAAGAAATTTAAATGTAGATACTCTTTCAATCTCAAAACCATTGAACATTACATTTCCAGGCAATATAGTCAGGGAATTACTAAAGAGCATATAACTTGTTTGCATGAATCCACAAAGTCGCATTAGTCAACTCAGAGTTTACAGTCTGCAAAAAAGTTTGTGGATTTCTGTGAGAGAAAAATACACTCGAGTCATCTGTAAATAAAATGAATGATAACATTTTTGCGGAAAGTTGAAAATCGTTAATATAAACAATAAACAAAAGCGGGCCTAGAATTAAGGGATCCCTGTGAGACCCCACAAGTGACGTCCCGCAAATCTGAATCAATTCCATTTAAAGAAACAAACTGTTTCCTATTTGCTAAGTAGCTTCTAAACCAATCTAATGCTATCTCCCTTACACCATAATCATGGCACAGTTTATCTATAATGATTTACAGTACCAAACGCTTTAGAGTAGTCTAAGGCTGCGTTCATGCTTAAATTTTGAAGGCAGAATGAGCGATCTGAAACGCTCATCGTAAACGCTCATCGTGATCGCAGTTCCACGATGTAGTGTTCATGCTTACTTCTCTGGCTCCCCAGGCAATTCTCCGTGTGTGGCCTTAATTGGTCTTCCAGCTGGATTCGCAAACCTTCACTGTGCATGCTACGTAGACCCACTAGAGGTCAGTGCGTTGACCCCATTTAAACGCGTTTACAAATTGTAAACGCATCTTTTTGTGAGTTTACGATCGGCGATCGTGATCGCCGTTTTTCGGTGATTCTACAAAAGTGAGCTAAGACGCAACCGTGTTTTAAACTAAACGCGTAACAGATGCCTGATTCTGGCCGTCAAAATCAAGCATGAACGCGCCCTAAGAAGACATCAACTGTATGCATGCGTGCATCTAAGGCACTGGAAATCTTATCCACCAAATGTAGATAGCCTTCACAATTGTTCCCCCGTAGTTTCCTGCTGTTTTATGACTTTAAAAAAATGCAGTAAATCAACTTGGTACTAAGTTACTATAATACCGCGCTATAATCAACAATTCCCGATGTATAAGGTTGTTCTTTTCAAGAAGCTATATATATGCTTGCGGGTGGCGTCTCTGTAGATCATGATGTGGGCATATATCGGATCAAATAGGGCAAACAAGCAAGCACCCCCCAAGTAAATAAATAAATGGATAAATTAATGAATGAAGAAGAAAAAATGTGCTTATTATCGTTCGTTCATTCGTGTTTGCTAACTTCTGTTTTAAAAGAACAGTCATACAGGAAGGCTGGTTGAAAAAACAAATCCACTTATATACTATGTGAATCATAATTTATAATTGTGCTTATAGGCCTCTGAAATGCAAAGAAGAAGGTCCCACTCTGCAACTTAAATTAACCGCAAGTTAAGTGGAGAAGATGCTCCATGAAAATAATTTAATTTAACCCTTGATTTATATTTACATAAAATTAATTAATCTGCAGTCATTATTTCATTTCATTTGTTTGATGAATGGTGTTGTGTGATGTTCCTAGCAGACCTCCAAACCATTTCGAAATCCTCTGTCTCTGAAAATTGATGTATAGCGCCAGCTTTGGTAGATTTCTTCTTTAATGGACATGCCCTTGCTATTCATGACGTCATACGTATATCAAGCTTGTACAATCATACTCACGGTACTACAGCTAGCTTCATAGGGCGGCCTAGTACGTATTCGAGTCATAATATAGCGAATGCATATCTAACCAAGTCGGAAGCAGAAACGAAATAAAGCTCTCCAATTTGAACAACAGAGTATTATATAGAGACGCACGAGAGAATAACCTGTCATTTTGTTTTCTAGTAGTATTATCTCTACTACTAAGAGTAAGACTGGCCCTTCTTCTTGTAATTGTTGTCAACCCGGTATCGTCAGCGACGGAGGCCTTTTCCCTTGACTTGTCTTCATAATCAGCTCTGCTTGCCGCGACGTTCGATTCCAACATTTTTTTTCCTCCAAGTTCCCAAAATGAGTGGGTTCCTATTTGGAAAGAAGAAGAAGGAGGTAACTGTTTCGCCAGCAGAAGCTATCCAGAAACTTAGATCAACCGAAGAAATGCTCGTGAAAAAACAAGAGTTTTTAGAAGGAAAGGTGTCAAAGGAACTTGTCATAGCAAAGCAGAATGGAACGAAAAATAAGAGAGGTAGGGTCTAAATAGATGTCAATGACTTGTCATTTGAATGAAAGGTGATTGATGTCAATCCTGGTATACTATTGCCTTATATGGATTAGAAAGTCTAATGTCAAATGGGCCTTCTCATGAAATAAGCCTGGTCATCGAGTGTAAACAGACTTGCATGAAAAGTCTTGTTGGACCGAAATTTCTGTCTCTTTCGTTCGTTAGCCTCTGATTTGGGTAGGGTCGGCTCCTCTCTAATCTAAAGAGAAGAGCGGACCCGACCCAAATCAGAGGCTAAAGAATGAAAGAGACAGAAATTTCGGTCTTGAAAAGTCTATGCCTGACCTGGGTATGGGGAGGCGGAATCCCCCATAGGATTACACAAAGTGAACAATATTTGGCACAATACAGAGAAATGTTAGTGAAAAATGTTCATGTCAGTGATGAAAATGGGGTAGATTTAGTGATAATTATTGTGATTCTATTCATAGCAGTCGGATTCATATCTATCAAACTGAGTTGTCTGCTAATTGTTTCTGATGTTTCTGTCTCGTACCGTACAGTTGCAATCCAAGCGCTGAAAAGGAAGAAGAAGTATGAGAAGCAGCTGGCCCAAGTTGATGGAACCTTGACTACGATAGAAGCACAGAGGGAGGCGCTGGAGAATGCTAATACCAATGCAGAGGTCCTCAAAAATATGAAATTTGCAAGCACAGCCTTAAAAACAGCACATAAAGAAATGTAAGTTTGAATATAAATAGAGTAGTCCTATTAAGAGAAATATATCTGAACTGATCAAAAAGCATTATCAAGATCTGCCAGCTCTTTCAATCTTTCAATGAATATTTTTTAGGCTGCAATTGATACATGAAATCCTAACTCTTAAATCTGTTTGAAGCTTCGAGCTTAAAGATAACACATCAGTATTACAAAAGGACAAAGTGTGTAAATGTTTTCCTACACAATATCCACGTCAAATATACAATACTACTACTACTTCTACACATACTACTTCTACTACTAATATTAATCATCATCATCATTATAATTTTAAGAGTTTCTAAATGAAAGAAATTACCGGTAATTAATTTTTTCCTTCCTCCTCTCCACATTTGTTTTATTACACTGTATCTAGGGGTGTTGAAGATGTGGATGATTTGATGGCAGATGTGCATGAACAAATGGAACTAGCCACAGAAATTTCTGATGCCATCTCAAATCCAATAGGCTTTGGAGCAGATGATATTGATGAGGTAAGCACAGAGTTTGATGTAATACAGGGCTCTAATTGGGTTGTACATGTAAGTAATAGTTGAAAGCCAGTCCACATAGACAATGGACCGATATCCAATAAGCAACAAGTGTTACTAGTGATGGCCCTTAAACGGATTCTAACCAACATGACAATGTAAGAAATGGTTCTGTCTGCATCCTTACTTTTGAAATACAATAATTGTCGCCAGTTTTACAACAGTTTTTTTTTACAAGACTCTTTGGGAAATAAGTGTTTATTCTTTTACGAATTTCTTAAATGTCAGTTTGCCAAACTGTATAGAAACAAGTGTTCAGTGGATTGCATGAAATGTCTGAATCCCAAAGCAGATATCAGTAGTGCAGATGTCAGAACATCATCATAAAATTAAAAATAAATATAATAAAAACTGCTCTTTCAGCAAGGAAATTCAGACTGCTTTGTACTTTTTTTTACGTTATTAAAGTCATGCATCCTTAATAGTCATTTTCCTTCCTTAGAAATAGAGTAGACTATTATATTTGTTTCTTTGTGGGTTTTTGTTTTTTTGTTACTTTTACTCTTCTAATTATCTGCAAAGTCATGTTTTGTTCAGTAATCAGGAAATGATGGATATGAATACTAGTGACCTTGCAGATTCATTTCAGATAATCTGTATGCATGACTTACATGCACATGTCAATACACTGCACACATGTACATGTACAGAATGATTGTATGGTGATATACCTTGGAAGTAAGCATTTAAAGTTAAAAACTTATTTGCCTCTCGTTGACATTCGGATGAAGAATGATGGTGATGATGGGGATGATGATGATGATGATGAAGTTTTAAGATGAACGTGTTTCTGTTCTTTGCCGTTATTGTTTAGATAGTTATTGATCCGTGTATGCTTTTAAATCTTAGTAGATGTTGGTTATTTTGCAGTGTATTTCCAAAAGAAAAGAACAAATCTTCACATTATTTTAATGTTCTTTGGCAGAAACTGAGTTTGGAATAGTAATTTTCATTTGGACCAAAATGATATTGCACTTTAATATCTGTGATTAAAAAGCACAAACATATGTATACATGCTTGATGTACTCATATACATGTACTGTAGGATTATATATTCTAAAAACATTTACGGAATAATTTATTTCTAGTCTTAAAACATGAAATAGAAACTAATAATGAGTGATTCACAGACAATTATGTAAATTATAAATATTATTAAATAAATAAATTAAATTATTAAAATATATTATTATTTATTTTTCATTGATGTTCTCAAAAGACTACCTCTTGACTTATGACAAATATATTTAATGATTTTATTGAAAGATATTTCCTTTTAATTGGCAAGATTTTCTAATGTGTTAAGACTTGTGTAGATCTTTACCCATATATTTTTATCAGTATGATTTACCATTCTAACACTTCAGTTCAGTTCAGTTCAGTTCAGTTCAGTATTTATTTAATTCCATAGTAAAAAAACAAAAACGGTGACATCAAAATATTACTTTTACATAAATATGATTAACATAGTACAATATTGACGGTAAAAACAAACAAATAGGAATTAGGTTGCTGTATAAAAACCCTAGAGGGTTTGTCTGGACAGCCACCTGAAAAAAAAAAAACAGTATAGGAATCATACAAATGATATATGGTATTTGAATAAACAATAACAAAAAATAAGTTTCTTTGGTACCAGTAATCTTTATTTATGTGAATGGTTGAAATAATGCCTAAAACTAACAAGTTTATATTTTCTCAATGTTTAATCTTAGGATGAGTTGAATGCAGAACTTGAAGAATTAGAACAGGAAGAATTTGATGAGAAGATGCTCGATGTTGATATTGAATTACCACAAGTACCAAGTGCATCATTACCAGCCACGAAAAGTAAGTTCATAAATCATAATCATGAAATCTTGGGTAATTTTAGGCCTGAATGGTTTTTGGTTTGTAGACCGGGGCCTGACTGTGATCATCAGAGCCTGAATTTGATATCTCTCACCTGTTGCACCCATCTTTACATGTAGTTCAGCAATATAGACTTTGCACTCACTTTGTACATACTGTACCTAAACTTAGCTTTTGCCGATTAGAAATATGGCTTCAATTTTTTCCTTTTTCATAAGTTACTTTTACACCAAGTGAAATTCCATTCCAACGTTTATTCTTGTATGAGAGATATTAGTATTCTTTCATTTAGCGCTATCTATTGTCGGAGTCCTCTTTTTTCAAAAATAGTGAATTTCTCCAAGTGTTTGTACATATATACTGTAGGTGTTCAAGGAGGAAAACACTCAGAGAAATTCACTATTTTGGCCCGATACTGTAGATAGATAGATAGTCTGAAATGAAAGAATACTAATATCTACTAATATTGGAGAATAAAATGTGGCATGACATTTGACCTGGTGTAAAAAAAAAGAATTTTAAAGCCAATTTTAAGTTGTGTACTAATTAAACTTTACCCCCCCCCCCAGGCCCCCACCTCCTCTCTATATACCCTATGCTAATGTCCACTGTTTTAACCAAGCCATGTGTGCTCCTTCTGGCTCAACATTCCCAAGTCCCTATGCATTTTATTCATTCACCTGTCCCTATAGAGTGGTCTAATTAACGTCATCAAAAAACTATAGTTTCCAAATTTGAACTTCGTTTTCCAAAAAGGGATACAAAAAAAAAAAAATGTCCAAATATTGAAAACCAATTGAATATGTTAAGTATTGGTTGAGATATGACCATCCAAATAAATAGGTTACAATGGGAAATCACTGTTATTCTGCTCAGGTTCGTATGAACTTATAAACCAGAGCAAAATAACAGTGATTTCCTATTGAACTCTATTTATTTGGATGGTCATATCTCACCAATACTTCAAATATTCTATTGGTTTTCGACATTTGGACAATATTTTTTATGCTCTTTTCAGAAAATAAAGTTCAAATTCAGAAATTCTAAAAATAATTTGTTTTATGATGTCACAGCTTCGGTACTCTTTTCTAGTTCTATACATTCTCCTGTCCCTACCGGTATGTTGCCTGGACTCATTGTTCCCCTCCTAAATTTCTTACATTCTTTTGTTCTCCTCTTCCTGTGTCTCCCTTAGTGATCCGATACATGCTCCTAAGATATTTGTTCTGGACCTTATTTCGTCAAAGTTAATGAGTGACGGTTAGGGTTTGGAATAGGTATATGCTAGATCCAAGATTAAAGTTAAGAATTTGGTTAGTGTTATAAAGTGGCCATGGAACACTCTTCATCAGAGAACTAAAACCGTTCCTCCTCTCCTTCCCCAATCCATAGACGTGTGTTGAATGTCTCCTATCCCAACCTGATACAAACATATCTTGTGTTTTCTTATAAATCTAAGTTTTTCATTTTTGTTTTTGTAAACCTAGTGGGGTTAGGTATCTGAATTCATAAGCAGGTTTTGTCATTTAGACTGCATATAGAAGTGTAAACCTGTTTTATTTCAATCCTAACATCAATCTTTATCTTTATTTAATTGCAGAGAAAGTTGCGCAGGATGAGGATGATGACATGAGAGAACTTGAACAGTGGGCCATGTAGAACCAACCATCCAGCACTTCTCTCTCTCTTACCAACTCCATCTAAGCTAAAGGCCCATTCTGCTTTCTCTAGAGGGGATCAATCAACATTCAAAGAATATTTTGTATATCATGTATGGAGGTGTTGTGGTATTTCATCTCGAGGCCTGCACTTCTTAGTGTGCATATTCATATGGATAGGTTCATGGTCTAGTCCAAGTAACATAATTTCTCTTTACAGAAGTTACATGTGACGCTAATACTTTGGACTATAGACTGTAGTATACAGGCAACGATCCCCACACACACACAGCAAAATATTTGTTGTTGGTTGGTCCCCTTTATATTTTTTATTCTATCGATGGTCACTGTGATTTCTGATGTTAAAAGATCAATTCCATACAGCAGAGAGGAACATAGTAAACATTGCACCTAAGTACAGATTACTTGCTGGGGGATATGAAGTGTTTGCAATGAGAAGCTGCAATGCTATTGCGTAGTTGTGTAGTGAATAGGCCAAGGTTTTCCTAAGGTGTATCTTTCTAATATTATGTACAGATGTCCCGCCCCCCTACTGTTATTTAGGGTACGCATATGCATGTTCCCTCCTTTTGAAAACACCCCCTAAGTCCGGTGTGTAAAGTCAATATGGGCCTGATTTTTGTGTACTATGAGACGGACTTTGGTGCATGAAAAGTACCCCTTTACCGGACATTTTGGTAACACGCATGGTATCCCTCCATTCACGGAGTGGGGGGGGGGGGGGGCGGGACAGATGTATTTTATCACACATGAATCTTTACTAATAGATTATACATTCTACCACGTAATTTATGAAAAATAATATTTATTAGATAAGGGAGATGTATTTCTTGCTACCATTGTTTCATTAAAGCATTGTGGAAGCATGCCTCTGGAGTTGTGCTACTCCTGATAAACTTTCAATTTCTTCATAGGCCACATTAAAAAGTGAAGTTTCTTTTACTCTCACTATCTCTCTCTTTTTAAGAGTATAACAAATCCAATATGTATTGACTGGATTTGTAACACAATGTTTACAAACAAGGATTTCTTCTGTAGATTTTAAAAGTCATGAGGAAAAAGTGGCTTGGGGTACATTGATATTTATTTCCCCCTCCCCTACAAACTCACCTTCCTGTGTGATATGTGTTACATATCAACCGACAAATTAAGAATTTTGCTACTGATATTATATTCACTGAGGCTGCGGGCCGAGGTTGAAATTTAATGGCATGATGGAATAGAATGTACAGAAATGTAAGCCCCCTAAAATCATTTTAAAAAAGGGTTTAGAAACTATTTTTAAAAGAAAACTAATTATATATCAAACTTCTTGGACATCCCATGAAACATGTGTTATAGAGTTATTAAACGCATGTTTCTATGGCATTTCTGCGAACTTTGACCTATGATGTTTTCGATTAACTGGCCCCTGATCTTAAAAATTGGTGTTAGAATGTCTGTACAATTTTTCAAGAACTACTAAAGGAAGAAAAGTTCAGTAGATTTTTTATTTATTAACAAGCCTTTTCAAAAGTAGATATTTAACAACAACAGAAACTGCTGACAGATATTGTTTTATTGTATTGGTGTTTACACAGACACACTCTGTCCTTGCAACCTCTCTCCATGGGAGCTTAGAATCAGAATTATTTTCCACTGAACTTTTGGTGCCCCTAAGCTAACCCTAACCTTATGGATTTTTACATGAGAATTAGTAGTGTAATGAAGTGGTATGTTTTGGTTTAAGGCATAGCATAGGTTAGGTGCAAGTCTAGGTGCAAGTTTAGCTGTATGGAAATAATAGTATATACATGTTTATTGGTGGCACTTCACTGTGCACTTGGAGGAGGAAAGAATTATTGACCAGTAGATAGAGGGCAACGTTTAAGTTCTACACAGCCATGAAATAAGATTTGTGTTTTAGATTAAAAAAAACCCTGAAAAACTGATCAATACATATGTATTGATCAGTTTCAGGTTAGGTGTAAAAATGTGGAACATGTCATAATAAAAATGTGTGTATAATTATGTGTGAAGCTGTTAGTCAAATATTTTAAAAGACATTCACTTTTATAAAGTATCAACAGTTGTTTTATATATTTTCTTCTTTTTGTTTCTATTCTTCCAGATTACATTTTGTAAGTAACGTCTGATAACATTTGTCCAAAATACCAATGTATGTACATGTGAGGCATCATCATGTACTGGTATATGATTGTTAGGAAAATATATATTAGATTATAACATAGCAAGAAGCAAGAAGGCAGGTCATATGAAGTGCCATCTTTTAATATTTCCTTCAAATTCCTTCAACTCCTGCAGTGCTGGGTCTAAACTGAAGCCCTTGATGGATTCTGAATTCAATGATTTGTAGATCAGGATATTCAGTTAATGCAATCCACCTCCAAATCACTTTAATGATATTTATTACTACTTGTGAAACATAACTCCTTCATTCTAATGTACCTGAATTGAGATAGAGCATCCCTGGGCCAGGGTCCAGGGAGAGGGACATTCATTACCTCTTATTACTGACGGCTACAATTTATTCTCTTAGCACTGCAGTCTATTTATTTACTCAGCAGCTAGTGTTTTCAAAAACCCTTTAAAGCATTATTAATATATGTTTAGCATATATTAATAATGATAATAATATAGCCCATAATAATACATTGAATAATCTATGCGCTTTATATTTCTTTAAAACAAGGAGCTTCATGAATTCCTTGAAAACAAACAAGTTTTCAAGGCTCTCCCAAAACCCTCCATTCTCATGACCTCCCAAAGTCTGTCAGGAAGAGGGAAGAAAGCTGCAGAAGTTGATCATGACACAGACATTTAAAAAAAAAGCTAAATCACTTGACATAGTGTATTTTCATAATAGGTTTCCGTTATATCTATTTTTCATTTGAAAGATATTCAGTATCTTTCCCTCTCGACTGACATTTGTATTTGACCTGCGCTTATTCATATAATTTCATATTTGTATTATTTCATTTGCTTAAATTATGTATATGACTTACACTTCTATTACGTTATCTTTGGCACATGTACTATTTAATGATATAGAATAGGAACTTTCAGTTAGTACATGTCCAAATAGCACCATAATATCATATATCTTTCTATAAATTCTGAACTGTCACAACTTAATGTGTGATTAATTGTAAATAAAATGATCTTTATAATGTGAAAGGTTTTAATAGAGCTCATTTCTTTTTGATTGAATAGACACTCAACAGATTTCCACTATGCTTCTCTCTCTCTCTCTCTCTCTCTCTCTCCTCCCTGATGGGGCATTATACATCACACAGACGAATCAGACATCAGATCAACAATAGACCAAACAAAACTTTTTTTCCTTCTTCTTAATAACGCCAAAATTTACTTTTTACCAGCTATCAGGTGGTTTGGAGTTGGGTTGGGAGTATTACACTGATAGAATCTCTCTTTTTGATCTTGTCTGTCCCCCCACCCCTTCTCTGCTCTCTTCCTCTGTCTCTCCCCCCTCCTTTTTTGTGTTTCTTTCCCCATATCTCTACCCTTTATCTAAACCTCCCCTCTCTTTTTCCCTCTCCCTCTCTCCCCGTCTCTCTCTTTCTCCCTCGCCCTCTCTCCCTGTCTCTCTCTTTCTCCCTCGCCCTCTCTCTCTCTTTCTCCCTCGCCCTCTCTCACCCTCTCTCTCTCTTTCTCCCTCGCCCTCTCTCCCCATCTCTCTTTCTCCCTCGCCCTCTCTTCCTGTCTCTTTCTCCCTCGCCCTCTCTCTCTCTCTTTCTCCCTCGCCCTCTCTCCCCGTCTCTCTTTCTCCCTCGCCCTCTCTTCCTGTCTCTTTCTCCCTCGCCCTCTCTCTCTCTCTTTCTCCCTCGCCCTCTCTCCCCGTCTCTCTTTCTCCCTCGCCCTCTCTTCCTGTCTCTTTCTCCCTCGCCCTCTCTCTCTCTCTTTCTCCCTCGCCCTCTCTCCCCGTCTCTCTTTCTCCCTCGCCCTCTCTTCCTGTCTCTTTCTCCCTCGCCCTCTCTCTCTCTCTTTCTCCCTCGCCCTCTCTCCCCGTCTCTCTTTCTCCCTCGCCCTCTCTTCCTGTCTCTTTCTCCCTCGCCCTCTCTCTCTCTCTTTCTCCCTCGCCCTCTCTCCCCATCTCTCTTTCTCCCTCGCCCTCTCTTCCTGTCTCTTTCTCCCTCGCCCTCTCTCTCTCTTTCTCCCTCGCCCTCTCTCCCCGTCTCTCTTTCTCCCTCGCCCTCTCTTCCTGTCTCTTTCTCCCTCGCCCTCTCGCCCCATCTCTCTTTCTCCCTCGCCCTCTCTCTCTCTTTCTCCCCCTCTCTCCCCGTCTCTTTCTCCCTCGCCCTCTCTCTCTCTTTCTCCCTCGCCCTCTCTTCCCGTCTCTTTCTCCCTCGCCCTCTCTCTCTCTTTCTCCCTCCCATACATGTATGTAATTTACAGAGCAGATCACTTACATAAAAAAAGTGAACTGTAGTATTCTGATTTATTAATAAAGTATTTCTTTTAATAGACTGCTAAAAACAAGAATTCATGCATGAGATATGATTATATAGATTTACCAATCCCTTCTCATACACCCACCTATACAGTATGTATACTCAGGTCTCATTTTGAACTTATGATTATAATATGAAAGACTAGGAAGAAGTACCCAGTTTAGTACATTTGATTTGACTACAATGGCGATAGATGCATAAAGAAATGTGGAGGCAATTATTACCTTGTTGTAACAAAGATATCTTATACTGTCCATTCGCATAAAATTCATTGGAGGTTCTAGACTGAGTTAATGTTTTAAATAATGAAAATGTACAGGTAATTAAAAATGTGTAAATAAATCAATTCAAGTTGAATATATTCCCTTGTAATCCTTGATATCATGGCTGTCCAAGGTGATCTCCCAACACTAAGTGAGTGGGTGCTCGCATGCATCAGCTTTCATAGATGTAACCCACACATGACCTAAACTATATGGAATACATAACGTCTGTTTGGAGCCTGAAGGGAATTCATCAGCTCATATACTTATACCACAGAGTTAACGCCCTTCTGACTCTGAACAGACAATACATATTTTAATTTTTGAGAAAATTCAATAATATGAATCAGATTCTTTGTAAGTTACATATACGTATAAATAAATCTTCCTCACATTTAATCAGTAGTCAATAGTCAAAATAGAGATTTAAACCCCTTAAAACTTATATAAAATAATATGTTTAATTGATATCTCCAAGTTTACGTAACATTGCAGCCATCATGCAGTATATTTATGATGTCATGCACATCATGCAAATAATGTAACACATAAAGATGGTTGCATAAAATATCATCACATCCAAGTGTAAATGATCCCAAGTAACTATATTACTCTGCTTTGTTAATGCAAGTGTAAGACTATCATGCATGATTGTCCCCTACCTATTAAGAATGTCCAAGCATGCTAATGCTAGAGTAACTGTAGCTCATATCAATTTCTACTGTAAACTGTTACAGATGGGACAAAATTATGAGTAAGATTGACACTACATGTATCTAAATGTATTCAAGCTTTGGTAACCATTGGAAATATGTATGTTTGTTAGCTTGCGCTATGATGGATAGACATCTCATTCACTTTCAATATCAAAGGCACACCTCAAAAAGGTTAGAAACATTTATTATACAAATCAAACACTTAGATTTAGATTTATATGATTAATACCATTATAATCTAATACTCCTTGGAGTGAATAATAGCCATACTATCTACCCTGTCATTTCAAGAAGAGACGATGTCATGTATGACTTGAGTGCAGATGAGCGTAGTCCATATAAGTAACAGTTTAACATGATTGGCATTTCTAATTACTTCCAATTTACATTAACAGCAAAGTCTATAACATGTGGAATATATCACTCAAGAATTTGACACTTGAGAAATAATGAGAAATAATTATACTTATGAAGTCTTTTCTTTTGGCAGATTGAAAGGATAATACAAAACATGGTACAGAACATTAGAACAGTTATATTTTGAAAATGTACAACTCTACACCACAATTACCATCTTTTAGAGCCAAATTACATGCATGATCTACGTACTGATGAATTAATTGCAGCATAGTCTAATACATGCAAATAAATTACAACATAAAGTTCATTTGAAAATGAATAATAATCAAACAGTTCAGACTCTCCTCATCCTCATGGCAGTTTCAAAAATGAATCCAATACCAAATATGCAAAATGCACTTCCAAAAAGTTGGCTGATAAAACTATATCAATCATCATTTTCACTTCAAGAAAAAAAATACATAAAAGACAAGTCTCCATAAAGAGAAGATCAGATATATACATACATGTTAATAGTGTGAGTAGGTACGATATAAAAAGCAGATGCAATGACCAAACTATAGGCAAAAGGTCACTACTTAAATTTAAGATAAACCCATAGAAAACTTTAACTTGCACAAAGATCATCATTAGAAGTGTATTGTACATGTAACAGTGAAAATACTTCATATGCATATTGGTATATGTAAAACAGAGAAATTATCATTTAGTCATAAAATGGTTTCTTTCGCGATTTGGAGCAATAATACAAATTATCAAAGCTCTGGTAAATACCTTTGCACAAATAAATGTTGCCAGTAATAAAGTAACATTTTCTTGAACAATTTGAAAAAGTGGTTGCTTTTAAATCTAAATTAGTAGAATTTATCAATAATTGACCATCTTTAAAGTTTTCTAATTGATATCATTCATCCACAATTAATTTTCTTATACATGTATATCTTGCTATTCATAATACTTTGAATTGATTTTGCATCATGGCCTAAATCGAGTTGAATAGTACCAATCACCGAAAAATGTTGTGCTCTTGGTGTAAGTGGTTTCATGTGGCTAAAATGTATTCAAAATGTGAGCTTCAAATATCAATTCTACAAAGAGATATTACATTTTAAATACATTCTCAGTGAACAGTGAAACATCTTCAGTAGACTATATACTGCACACGTACACACTCCCATAGAATAGGGCTCACATGGAACCCGAGTCCGACTTGGGTTCTGTGCAAGCACTATATTCAGGATTTAATGTTATCCTGTCGTTTCTCCATACTCCTTCACCGTTTCTCTATATAAATTCAGGTAAAGTTTTTTTAGGTTGATTTTATACATTCTAGCTATACACAAATTCATTTTTGAGGTGATTGATACATTGTACCTATAAACTACCAAGGCATCATTCACTTGCATGCTATGACTTTAGCTGCTAACTGCACTAGATGAAAATCAACAACCCATAAAACATGATCATTTGATAAGTAATTAAGTACTGCTACATCTAGCTGCTCTGCTACTTTCCAATGCTGAAAACTAACGACATGAACTGTTCATAATTGATCGTGATCCAACCATTCCTGTTTGTGTCAAATCCCTGGAATGAATTTGTCAAACTCTACAACAGAAAGAGAAAATAAGCACATAAATACATTATTTGATGATGTAAAGGTATAGAGCCCAAACTTAGAACATTTACGGTGGACCAGTATAAAAACCTCTAGCTATGGGAAACCTATCTGCAACTGGGGCAGCATTTCACAAAGCTGTCATAAGTACAACATCCATTGAAATATGTGTATTCAATTTCACACATGATTTAATGGGATGTCAATGAAAGTGTATTTATGACAGTTTTGTGGAACAATGCCCTGGTCAAGTGACTGTGGTGCAACTGTCCCTTTTCCCATCATTTATCAAAAGTGGGTAAAGTAAAACCTTTTTTCACAAATGCACAAATAACAGTTACATTTTTGTATTGGATGTGTGCGCAAAGACTTTCAATACTGGTAAATATATTCCTAGTCTTTAACCCTATTTTAACTGGGCTATTTCAGACCAGGTTTTTACTGGGGGGGGGGTCAATTTGACCCCCCCCTAAGATCTCGGCCGTTTCACCGCCGATCGCCGCGAAAATTTGCATGCATGTCAAGTGAAGTGTATAGAATACTATGGTAATTTCAAATTTTTGAAAAATTCACTCATTTGCTTATTTATGGTAATTTATGCAAATAAGGTCATAAAATTCACATTTCGGCCCATAAATCATAGATTATTCATATTTAAGTATTCTTTTTCACTACATATATTTATTAGACCATTTGGAATAATAATACAACACAAAAAATTGGAAGAGCCAGGTTATTCCTTATGTTATCTCTTGTTTTTATAATTTCTTATGTATTTCATTGTTTTTTTAACTTATGTATTTTATTGTTTTTGTTGTTTTATTTCATTTATAACTACAATTCAACTATTTTGACCCCAAAACAAACATCTAAACTTTAAACAAGACTGAATAACCAATGTTTTATCTATTTTTAGGAAAAATGACTTTTACATATGTTTTGTACACAAATCACGAAAATGAGCGATTTTCGGGCTGACATGCAAAGACAAAAGGTCACGCGACCTTGTAACCGTAGGTCCGATTTTCAAAAAAATTGTTTTAAAAGATGCGTAACACTCGAAAGTAAAAAGTCATGAGAGGAAAATTTTATATCTGTCGCGGTTTCGGAGTAGTCGCGAAATTTCTACAGGGGGGGGTCAAATTGACCCCCCCCCCCAGTTAACGTAGGGTTAATGCTAGACACAACTTTCAGCTACTCTAACAGACTAGGAGGTATGAACTTTCTTTAAATTGCATAAAATCTGATCTTTCTGGCCAATATATTGTTTGGCAGGGAATAATTTTCAGCAAAAAAATTGCATAGCAAAACTGCTATACAAAATAATTTTTGCATAGCAGTTGGATAAATTTGTATCGCAATTTTTTTCTCATATAGCAAAGCGTACATTTTCAGCCCACTACAATAAGATGAATGTACATGTAAACATGGTGGGTGTACTCACATTTCTAGTCCTCAAATGGATATGGCCACTTGCTGCAGTGACAGTAAACAAACAACTCCCAGGTACGATCATCGCGCACATGCGATGCATGTAATTAGATCCCACGTGCATTGTCATTGCATTGTGCAATGATCGCGCGAACCATGCCTCAAAACAACAATCGCGGTTAGAAGGTGATCGTAGCATGCCATGTGCTTGCGCGACAATGGGTGTATGTGTATAAGCTTCACGGTTAGAGAGTGACTGCAGTATACTTCACGCACAGTAGTTACGCTGTAAATGCAAACATACAAGTGCGAGTGAGTAGCCAATTTCGCGATCGCCGGCGATGGCGAAACGGGCTACTTACTCGCACTTGTACTGAGGTGTGATGAGCTAGCCTAGTAATTCAGATTATTCAGATCGCGAAACGGGCTTCTCACTCGCACTTGTACTTGTACAGAGGTGTGATGAGCCCGCCCTTAAACATGTATGTTTGCATTTGCATCGCAGCAATTGCGATTCATAAAAAAAGATGTGTAGCAAATGGCTGAAAATGCGTCGCAAATTGCGATGCGATACCGGGAAAATTATTCCCTGTTTGGGGTCTTAAACTTACCTGTATTACACAGCAACACTGAATGAAATCATCAAAAGCTATTGATCCTTTCCCACTCCTGTCAAACTTGCGAATCAGTAAGTCGTATATCCTGTCTGATAACCGATAGCCTAAAAAACACAATAATAATGATAATAAAAATAATTATAATTATAATAATAACAAAAAATAATAAAAAATAGTAACACTTACACTAATTATAACAATATAGCATTCATAATGCGCCATCAATCTATGAATCTAGTCCACTCTGATCAGGCAAAGAGGGATATTGAGAATGATTTCCAACACTTTAAGATGATATGTTGCTGAACTGAACATAACACTGATATCACTGAAATGCATCTACTGAACTTGATTCCATTCAATATGGAAACATTTTCCAAGAAACGTATTATCTTGAAGGTGTTATATACTTGTATTTTCTTTATGATATAACAGTAAAAAACAGTACCATGCCATGTCTATCAATTTTGACACTCTTGGCCTACATATTAACTGAAAGGCACAAGGATAATTGTACTTTAATATCTTAAACACACTGTATATATATCCTTATACATTACATTTTTTCTAAACAAACCCAAATTTACATCTGTCAATCTTCAACTCTACACAAATGAAAAAATAATTAAACATCTAAATTTCAGCTGTAACAATTTGTAAACTTTTATAAGATTATGAAGGATTTATGGAAGATTCACTATCGCCACAATTCTCTCTCAGTTAAATGATACTAATTTTATTCATAAATAACCAATTCCATTGCATAAGCTACTCAAAGTGCAAGAAAGCTTCCTACCGAATGTGGTGAGAGCTTGTTTAAGTTCATTCTTGTCTATGGTTCCTGAGTTGTCCCTGTCATACCCTCTGAAGGTGTTCTGCCAGTCGGTGACATACTTCCACAAAGCACCAAACTCTTGGAAGGTTATTGTACCTGAATGGTCTTTATCAAACATGGTGATCATGAGACGAACGGTCTCAGGGTTAAAGGGATTCCATGATCCTGTCAGGAGAACGAAAGGGAGGGGGTGAGTAGGATAGCAACTTAGAGTAAGTGATAAACTTTAACACTTTGATATATCTGTCTGATCACTACCTACTACCTAGAGTGTGTTAACCTTCTGTTACTTATAGGTTTTTAAGCAGATGAGTATTGTTAAAACTTTGTTTCAAACTCTTTGTTTTTTAAATATTTTTAGCAGCAGTGTGGTCCATCTCAATGATAGTAAGACTAAAACTAAGTTTGAAAAACCACTACTTTACAGTTCATGCAATAAACGATTAAATAGCTTGTTCAAGATAATAGGACATATATGAAGCCATTTCCACTGTTTTATCTTTATGTCTGTCAATTGCTAATAAGCTATACACATAATCACACTGATTTTATTAGAAAGGAAAAAGAATATATGATTAAAAGAAAATAAAGCTATAATAATTCCAGCTCTACTAAAAAGGAATTGCTAAAATTGAAATGTTCAAAATTTGCCTTATTATCACTGTAATGCTCTACTACAGGTACTCATCATGTAAGCAGTGATAATCATACCATTTGATAATGCTTGCTGGAGTTCTTGAGATGATATATGGCCACTGTGATCCTTGTCAACCCTGGGTGAACGAAAGGAAATTCATGAAGTTTCTTTAGTTATTATAAATGTAATGATTAAGGCTTAGCAAATCAATACCAATTTTTTTGAAAGACACACTGGAAACTTGCTAAGGAGACTTACCTACAAATGTACAACCATGCAACCCACCTTGAGAGAACCTCTCATTAAACTCTGTCATCACCCTCTGATCACAAGCCAATTTGAGAGAACCTCTCATTCAACTATGTCATCGCCCTCTGATCACAAGCCAATTTTTGAGAAAGCAACCCTTGATCATGGGCATTCAGAACCTTGTACTGTTTAGTGCATCAAAACACCTTTCAGTTATCAATCACGCCATACAAAAACTGTCTTAGTATTTCATCTTCAATAATTTGTATGAATTATCAAAGACATTCTTTTTGGTTCTATTTATTATCGAAAGACATCGATACCACACATGTACAGGTGTTGTATGCTTATTACCCGTCTAGAAAATCTATAAAAATAGCATCATGGCCTAGTCAGTACGTGTTTGCCCATGTTGAAAGAATCTTTTCATGTAGAGTTGTAGACCCTATGTATATAGTTTATAGGACATCGCATCACATTTATGATGCACAGGTTTGTAGTATCTAGAACTCTAAGATCTTTTATAATCATGAAGCCAGAGGTTTGGGGATTCAAACATGATTTATAAAACCTGCTCTCTGAGTCCGAGACTGGTAGTGTGGGCTTCTTGCCTGTCAATCACTATTGCCAAGAGGGCAAAAGTGTAACGCTCTCAAATTACCAGGGAAAAAAATACTTTACACATTTCGGGGGCTACTTTTCAAGCTTGCTTGCATGAAAATAACACTCTTGATTTTGTTTTGCATTGAACTTTTTTTGGGCTCTTTTATGACTTTCAGGGGCTAATTCACCCGAGCCCCCGTGTATTTTTTTCCCTGCAAATTATGTCATGGGTTTAACAAACCAAAGAGCATCACCAAATTCACGTAAAGGGGCTTCTCTATTAATAATATCTATGGTATAGTCTACGAGTTTTCTGTTGTGAGACATTTCCAACTTGTGTGATCTGAACATGCTTTGTCACTTGTCACAATTAATGTCAAACACAAGTTTTAAAAGAAGAAGGAGGAGGAGGAGGAGGAGGAGGAGGAGGAGGAGGAGGAGGAGGAGGAGGAGAAGAAGAAGAAGAAGAAAAGGACTGAATTTGTGTATACGATTTTATATGTAGATTCAGCACACTCGCGCGCGTGTGCCGCGAAGAAAAAAAGCACACAAAAAAATACAAAGTGGCTGATCGCCAAGTTTGACAGTAGACTAACGATTTGAATTTTCAAAGAATTTTTTCTAACATCGGTAACTAACTTTCAAAAGATTGTATTTTACTGCTATTTAGGTGTCATCAATTGTCACTAAAGTACTTATTTCGAGGTTAACTCAGTTGAGTTTTGTACAGTGGTGTTTGCAATGTTGAGAATCAATAGAGGTCGTCTAAACAGTTTTTAATACACAAAACGTATACACTAATGCTGCTATATCATGATATAGATGTGCAATAAACATGATGAACAGATCTACAAACATGTATATGAACAGGTGGGTCATGTTGTAAGTTTGACAACAGCACAATATTTTCAATATCAAACAGATTACGAGGATATAAACCCACCAGAACATCCTCATGAATTCCTTTGACGATCAAATACTTGGAGGGAAAAAAAATGCAATAAACTTACTTCTGAAATACACCCCAGAGAAAATTTTGGTCTAGCGCCGCCATTATTTCGCGCTCGGTCACGCAGTGTATTCATAGAATAACGTCATAGATCGGGATGCCCCACCCAGGCCCACGCGCCGTCGCGTCACGGGCGCGGCGCGGCCAGGGCTAGTATCTATAGTGGCCCAAATTATGGGTTGAGCTGAGTTTCCTTTTTTCGTTTTTTTTTTTTCTTCATTTTTCTTCTTCGATCAGATAGGAGTGGCTGGAGACGTTGGCTACATGGATTGAGGAGCAAATGATCAGACTCCAAACTCGCTTCTTTGAATTATTGTGAATCATTGACGTCCGAATCATCATCATCTTCATAATGACCACCATCATAATTATCATTAACCGTGCACCCCGGCCCCCCCCGCCCCACTCAGTGTTATTTAGGGTACGTATATGCGTGTTCCCTCCTTTTGAAAACACCCCCTAAGTCCGGTGTGTAAAGTCAATTTTGTGTGTACGAGCCGGACTTTGGTGCGTGAAAAGTACCCCTTTACCGGACATTTTGGTAACACGCATATGCGGTCATTCCGACCCCGGAGTGGGGGGGGGGGGGGGGGGGGGGGGGGCGGGCATGCACCACCATCACCTGGCCATCATCATAATCACCACCACCCCCGGGGGTCTCAGTCATGTAGAAATACTGTAAGCAAGCGTAACCACATGTTTTTCCATACACCACCTAAACGAGGATTTCTTCTGAAACCAAAATACCTCCTAAATGAATTTCGTGTTTTTTTCTCCCGAATTCACACCCTAAACGGTGTAAAAAGGTGTCCTCCTATAAACAAGTATTGTAAAATTATAACCCCTTGAGCATTTTGCGATAGGGATAAAGGATTACCATTTAAGTTGTTGTAAAATAAATCAAATTGCGGTTCTGATGTAAAATTCACAATCTAAAAAATAATTTCAAGAGAGAAGCAATAATATCAACCGGTACACTTCCGAATGGATGCACAACCATCATAAGTCCTTTCTTTGCCCCCCAAAAAGAATTACATTTCGAATTTGATATATCTTATATAAAGTACATGTAGTGTTTACAAAAAGTACACAATGTACAGTGAACAGTACTATTTTACTATGCAGAACAACAGGTAAGGGACCAGCTATAGGTCTGGGTCGGTATAGTGGGCATCCATCTTGATCTACTGAAGATCTTAAGATCGCAACTCGCGCTAGATAAGCTACCTCTCGCGGCCGTCTATTTAGAAAAAGTACCCTTCTTGAAAATGGCCCAAAATTGACGTTTTTGAGCCCCTGGCATAAAAAAACACCCCTTTATATCTTGGTCACGCATGCTTACAGTATTTATATTTGACTGAGACCCACGGGCCACCATGCACCAACGCCATCTGCCATCATAATCACCTCTACCAACACCACCACCACCACCACCACCACCATCATCATCATCATAATGACGACCGCCACCACCACCACCATCGATCATCTTCATAATCACCTCTATATACAACCACCACCACCACCATCATCATCATGATGGTCACCATCACTAGCACCACCGTCATCAACATATAATGACCACCACCACGTACCACCACTACCACAACCGACACCGTCATCATCATAATGACCACCACTATCACAATCGATCATCATCATAATCACGTACAACCACCACCACCATCATCAGTATTAAATAACCTCCACCACCACCACTACCACCACTATCATCATCATCATCATACTCACCACCACCATCACCACCACCACCACCCCACCACCACCACCACCCCCACCACCACCACCACCATCGATCATCATCATAATCACCTCTCTTTACAACCACCACCACTACCATCACCATCATGATTCACAGAAATGGATGACGCCATATTTCTGTTTAAAAAAAAATGAAGGACGCAGGCTCCTCTAATGAAGTCAATACTTTCACATTTGCTGAGATAGATGGATGAGCAGAGGCGTCGCTAGACCTTTTTCAGTGTGGGGGGGGGGGGGGGTGTAGATTACCGACAAAACTAGCCACCAATTACCGACAAAATTAAATGTCCCAATATCTACAAATTTAACCCTATACACCCGGGGCCGAAGGCTAAATTGTTTTTCCTATGGACTATCTATAGTACTTGCGTATGCTCAAATTGTCATTTTCCTCGACGACATAAATATACGAATTATTTCATCAACTTAGTCAGCACCATAGCTATATATTTTAATGCTGGCGCGGAGCTAGGATCTTATTTTAGGGAGGGGCGGTAGTGAGCAAGCGAAGCGCGCTCATTAGGGGGGAGGGGGTGTGGGTGATAGGCCTCCCGCGCAAAGCTCGGAAGCTTAGACGTTTCCTTAAATTATAAGGAAAAGAAGACAATTCGGTGTACTGTTCTCGACTCTTAATCCTTATCTGAATTCAGTTTCTTCCCCTCCCGCGCGAAGCGTGGAAGCTTTGACGTTTCATTAAATTATAAGAAAAAACAGACGATTCGGTGTACTGTTCTCGACTCTTAATCCTTATCTGAAACTAGTTCTCACCCTCCCGCGCGAAGCGCGGAAGTTTTGAGGTTTCATTAAATTCTTAGAGAAAGTAGACGATTCGTTGAACCACGCTCGACTCTTAATCCTTGTCTGAATTCAGTTTCTCCCTTCCCGCGCAAGTTTTGACGTTTCATTAAATTATTAGAGAAAGAAGGCGATTCGTTGTACCGTTTTCGACTCTTAATGAGCCCTAATTGTCTGAATTCAGTTTCCCCTTTCGCGCGAAGCGCGGAAGCTTTGACTTTTCATTAAATTATTAGAGAAAGCAGACGATTCGTTGTACCGTTTTCGACTCTTAATCCTTGTCTGAATTCAGTTTCCCCCTTCCCGCGCGAAGCGCGAAAAGCTTAGACGTTTTGATGTAATTATCATAAAAAGAAGACATTTCGTTGCAACGTTTTGGACTCTTTATAGTAAAATTACCCACACTCCGCGGTACCTTCAAAACAGTCCAAACTCCCTCGGCTCCGCCTTCTTACTAATGCCCTCACTGCTGTGTATTATGTGTATACTATACGATAGCATGCAGAAGGATTACGATTATGAGATGCTATGAATTGGACATGTAATACAGAAATGATGTAAACATTTGTGTTCTCCTGCACATTATACTCTACTTCCTGCGAAGCTACAGTTCGACCATGGACCTGTTTTGACAGTGTTTATGACATAATTTTGTGGTGTATTTATATTGTTTTTATATCGAGTTGTAGTTAATGCACAGAAAGAATGATTTGAATTTTTACACTTTTCAAAATTTAATTGAAATTAAAAGATTTATTAAAAAAATGTTTCTTGTTTGTTGTTATCTTAATACTACTGAATCTAAGGGGATCGAATTTATCCACAGATAAGCAAAATAATTCCTTTTAAAATGTACAGATTATTGCTATGTCTGGCATGTTCAAGCATATTTCCCCAAAAAGAGGGGTAGGCCTATATCGGCATTTCAGTGTTTTCAGAAAGAGCATTTTAAGTGCGTGATTCTGATGGCTGGTGACTGCTGATGTAGACCTAACGCCCCAGGCAGAAATGGTTATATTATGGACTTTTTATTTCTGTAGGGGGGGGGGTCGTCAATTTAAAACCTTATTTGGGTGCAGGAAAATTGTAAAGAATTGTCTAGGAACACATTATCTATGTTAATTACATGTATAAGTTGATGTACACATCTGACAAATAATAATGATAATAACAATAATAATGATAATGATAATCAGGGGCGGCCGAGCGACTTCCAAAGTGGGGGGGGGGGCACCAAGAAAAAAGGGCACTTTCTGGAAAAAAGGGCACCTACAAAGGGAAATCTCAAAGCGAAAATATAACATTTTGTTGGTATTGATATATACCCCTACATTGTGATTACAATTATTAGGGATGATTTCAATATTTGTTTCACTTTCTACACCATACAAAATATTGCTTAAGCATTATGCTTTGCAGTTGGGTTTGATTGTCTAAAAAATTGTCTGCGAGCGAGCGAAGCGAGCGAGGGAAATTTTGAAGATGTGTGATGTCGCAGTGCGATAAATTACATCTTATAAAGAGGAAAAAAACCCAATCCTAATGGGGTTATAAGCACAATCTTATAACGGAAGACTGAAAAGTCCTTTGATAAGTAACATAAGTTTATCATCTATAGATGCGTGCGAGCGTAGCGAGCGAGCTTTGGGGGAAATTGCTCTTAATCACTTGGAATTAGCTAGTGCGCGTTTAATGATGAGAGGAAAAGGGGACACTTATTAGGAAAGAAAAGGAGCATGTGCCAAAGTACAAAGAGTAAATATCAGAGGTGAAAATGGGGCACTTCTTACACCCCCAAAAGGAGGCACTCACCAGGGATGAAAAAAGTATGTCATGAGAATAGGAAATGGGCATTTGTCGACGGAAAAGGGGCCTCCATCAGATCTTGATAGTGGCATTTATAAGAGGTGAAACGGGGCATTTATGAAAAGGGGATAGGTCCCTTATTAGAAAGGAAAAGGGGCACGTATCATTGTTAAAAGGGAAACTATCAGAGGTGAAAAGAGGCACTTATCGCACTTGAAAAGAGGCAATGACCAGATATGAAAAGGGGCACTTATGTGAATGAAAAAGGGGCACTTGAAATAAAGGAAAATTAGTTGAAAGAAAAAGGGCACCGAACAGATTTTAAAGGGGCATTTTTCGGAGGTGAAGGGGGCACTTATCTGAAGTGAAAAGGAGTAACTTCTCGTACCTGAAAAGGGTCATTTATCAGAGAAGGGGCACTTATGAGAAGGGAAGGGGCTCTTTTTTAATGGGTCACTTTTCATTAAGAAAAGGGGCACTTATTAGAAAGAAAAAAGGGCACATGTGAAAATATAAGGTGCGCTTATCCGAGTTTAAGTGGAGGTAGTTATTAAAAGGGGAAGGGGGAACTTCTTACAAAGGAAAAGGGGCACTTGTCAAAGTAAAAGAGGCACCTCTCAGATTGAAATTATCAGAGGTGAAGGGGGCACTTATCAAAAGTGAAAAGAGGCACTATATTCGTACCTAAATAGGGGCACTTACTAGAGATTATAAAGGGCACTTATGAGAATGGAAAATGGACACTTA